CGGGGATGGCGAGGAGTTGGTTGGGACTTGGTGCCGCAACTGCGAAGGGCGTTATTCTAATGAGCGGTTAATGATTAGCAACAAAAATAAATAAATAAATTATATATATATATAGATATAGCGCCAGTTGGTGTTTTCACCGGAAACTTTTAAACGCTGCCTCTCCAGAGGGTGATTAGCGCCCGCCGGGCCGCCCCACCGGCTGCCCAATTAAAAGACAAAGATACTTTTCATTGCACGGGGCCGTCAGGTGGATTTCCTTCTCCTGCGAGGGTAAGAAATCACTGCCCCGCACTCCTGAGGCGGGCTGCGGGCTCATGGGCTGCCCCGCCGAGTCCTGCTGCTGTCAGCCCTCAGCTTCCACACACAAACTTTCTCTCTTTTTTTTTTTTTTCTTTTTTTCTGTCTTTAATCAGTGGGAAGTTGAGATGTGGAGATCTGATTTTTGCTTGCACACCGGTAGCAGGGATGGAGGCTTGATGATTGCCTGCTAGAAAGAGAAAAATAGGAAGGAAAAAAAAATAAAAGAAAGAGAAAGATGAGAAAAAAAGTAAAAGAAAGAGAAAGAAAAAATAAAAAAGAAAAGTAAAACTAAACACAAAAAATAAAAAGGAAAGAAAAAGAAAGAAAAAGAAAAAGCAAAAGTGTCTTTAATCAGTGGGAAGTTGAGATGTGGAGATCTGATTTTTGCTTGCACACCGGTAGCAGGGATGGAGGCTTGATGATTGCCTGCTAGAAAGAGAAAAATAGGAAGGAAAAAAAAATAAAAGAAAGAGAAAGATGAGAAAAAAAGTAAAAGAAAGAGAAAGAAAAAATAAAAAAGAAAAGTAAAACTAAACACAAAAAATAAAAAGGAAAGAAAAAGAAAGAAAAAGAAAAAGCAAAAGAAAAAGGGAAAGGCAAAGGGAAAGAGAAAGGAAAGGAAAATAAAAAGGGAAAGAAAAAGGGAAAGAAAAGGGAAATGGGTTGGGAAAATGCAAAGGGAAAGAGAAAGGGAAAGATAAAGAGAAAGGGAAAGATAAAGAGAAAACAAAGCGAAAAAAAAAGGGAAAGAAAAAGGGAAAGAAAAAGAGAAAGAAAAAGGGAAAGAGAACAAAAAAGGGAAAGAAAAAGAAAAAACCCTTAAGAAAGAAAAGCACAACTGCCTTCTTAACCTCAAGCCTCATGAACTTAAGACACCTGTGTCACCTACAGGCTGTGGACAAATGGGTGCTGGTTGCAAAAATACCTGTGTCATTTTGCTCACTCAGTTTGATCGTGGGTTTCAGGTGAAAGAAAAGAGCAAACGCTTTAGTCTCAGGACCAAGAGACTCAGAACAAGTTTCCTAAAAGGTCTATTTTCGGAACAGCTATTTATATAGGATAATGTTTTTATGTGTGTGTCCCTGTGCCGGAAAGATTGCGTTCATCCACACGGGTCGCTAATGGGCTTTCCTGTGTGAACTGCAAAGAGCCCTGTATACACAATCCCAAATTCCCAAAGCCACTATATTATTTGTTTAAGACCCAGTTTTGCCAGCAGCTTTGCACAGTATGTCCATTTTTCTTTGTGTGACAGTTGCCCATAAGTGCTCAAACTGCTCGAGACTCCCATTTCCCCAACCCCCCCTGCCCCACTCCTGTCTCCACTGCCCCCCAGAAACGTGTACCTACAAGGAGGAGGTTTTGTCAAGGTTCTCCAAGGAGGACTTATTTACACGAGGAAATTGCCTGGAATATCTATTGCAGTCCAGCTTGCTGTGCAAATGCCCCGATTCCTGTATGAATAGCTTTTTTCCAAATTACCTTAATTTTTAAAGGGCTGTTGGGAAAATGCAGTTGTTATTAATCAATAGGAGGAGCAGCAGTAAGCAGGAGTGGTTGTAATACTCGTGATTTTGCAGCAGGCACCTGCTGTGATTGGAGCTGTGCAGACACAACACAGCAAGGCAAGTCCTACCGCCAGACCTTCGTGGTCGAAAATATCAGTGATGAGAGTTGAACGGCCAAAAATGAGGGTGTGGAGGAGAAATGTGGAAATATTGTGGTTGTTGTGAGCCCTAAACAGTTCGTTAAGGTTTCTTACAATGGGACGACATGCTGGAGAATCATTAAAAATACATACAACCACAAGTACCTACTCATGATGGCTGCTTGTCCGTGATGTTCATCAGGACAGAAGGACATAGGAGGCAGAAGTCAAATGGTGGGATAAAGAGTAAGAAACCAGAAGGCTAATGAGAAATGACGTATGCATAAAGGATATAGGATAAATATGCTCTGGACTAACCACATGCTCACAGGGAGTTAATCAAGAAGAGCTTTAGGAACTTTAAAACCACGCCAAACACAGAATCACAGAATTATATGGGGTTGGAAGGGACCTCTGGAGATCATCTAGTCCAATCCCCCTGCCAGAGCAGGTCCACCCAGAGCAGGTTGCACAGGAACGTGTCCAGGTGGGGTTTGAATGCCTCCAGAGAAGACTCCACCACTTCTCTGGGCAGCCTCTTCCAGAGCTCTGCCACCCTCACAGTGAAGAAGTTCCTTTTCATGTTTAGGTGGAACTTCTTATATTCAAGCTTGTGCCCATTTCCTCTTGTCCTATCCCTGGACATTGCTGAAAAAGGCCAGCCCCATCCTCTTGACACCCACCCTTCAAGCAAACCTTTACTCTGAGACAATTTCATGCATAGACAAGGCCCCATGCCCTGCTACGTCAAAATATTTCAGCATGTGTTTAAATCCTCATGATCTCTATGTGACACGTTGTGCTCTAAGTGCTTTGATGAATCAGGGAAGTCCCTTGCTGACATGTTGTGGGTCTTTGTCTCCTGCTCCTCATGCAGACATTGGGGTGATGGGTCTGGTGGCAAAGCAGGGATGCTTTTTGGGCAGCCGGGAAGTCGGAAGCTGCCGGGGTGTGCATACAGAGTTTTATTTCACGGGCCCTGAGTGCTGAACCAGGGATCTAAATCTAAAATTTTAGCAATCATTAGCTTTGCTACTGCTTCTGTGGGTCAAAGTTATTGCCATTTTCATCAGTAGAAGACAACCTGATTCATTATTTTCCATGAGGTTTTCATGGAAGAGAACTGGCCACACCAGCATGACAATAAATAAACCAGAGCTGGGGCTTTCCAAAAGCATTTAAGCCCCATGGGAAACCACTGGTTTTTGACAAAAAAAAACCCCTCTTTGGCATTGCAGGCAGCAAAGACATAGTATTTCTGTAGGGCATGGGTGTATCCATCCATTATTAGAAGTGAAGGCAGTGGGATGATGTTTTCTGGATTGCATTTCTTAATTAACCTAATTATTAGACTCAAAGAAATGTTTGGAAAATCATCCTCTTGTTAATCTCTGGAAAAAAATTGGGGCAGTATGAAGAAATTTTTTAACATGCCAAAAAGATACTGGGCTGGAAAATAAGGTTTTGTTGTCTTCTGTTGCAGCAGGTGTGATAACCTCCAAAACTTGAAACCCTCCCCAAATCTGCCAGCAAGTCATGGAATCACAGAATTATAGAACTGTCTAGACTGGAAGGGACCTTTCAGATCATCAAGTCCAACTATCAACCTAACACTGCCCAAACCACTACTAACCCATGTCCCTCAGCACCACGTCTGCCCAGCTTTTAAATCCTTCCAGGGATGGTGACTCCACCACTTCCCTGGGCAGCCTGTTCCAAAAGTCCTTGCAGGATTTACCAGGAGTGTGTTTGGTGATGAGAGACCAGTCTTCACAGCAGCACAGGTGAGATGCCCTACACCCCAACTGCTGCTACGTCTGTCCCTGGCCTCAAACGTAACCCAGAAGAAGGAGGGAGAGGGAGTCCTGCAACCCCTCATGGAACTCCTAATGCCGTTGCAGACCTCACCAGAACCACGCTACATAAACCATCCCACCGCTGTTGAGAGAAGGATACCGTTCAGGTGCTGAGGAGCTCAACTGGATGTCAACCAACCACATAGATGTAAAAAAGGCATATTCCGTTACTAATGCCCCGGGCCCACCCATGCTGCTTTCAGTAACTTCATTCGTCATTCATTTTTTATGCATGTGTCTCCTCACCCTCTCTTCTTCTCCCACCCACCCCTAACAAGAGGAGAAGACCATCCGTGGATGACTCAGGATAACATTAAACATACGCAGAACCCAGGACCCGAGTGTAAACTCTCCTGGAGCAGGGGGCCGTGCTCCTTTATTTAAAAAAAAAAAAAAAAGGTCTCTAAAGCGCTGTGCCAAATCATGGTACTCTGCAAATATTTATTAATATGACATGGTTATGTATACTGTGGGGTGTGGTATTACGGCTTTATCAGTGAGTTTCAAGATGCCGTACGGTATGAATGAGCTATGAAAGCCATCACACCCCCAGAGGGGTTAGGACAGCACTTCACCCAGCATTAGTGCCTGCTCTGCATGTGACTGTCAAAGGAGCCATTTATAAATGTTCTGGAGGGTTGGGTGGTTTGTTTTTTTTTTTTAATTATTGAGCTGGGACTGGTGGCTGGAAGGTGTCAGGGCATGTGACAGCACACCCTGGGACAGGGTGACATTCCTCCCTTTTAAACAAGTATTCTGGCCATCTTCAGACATGGGGTCCATAAATGCAAATAAAATACATATAAATACAAATAGCTTTGGGCTAGTGGCCATTTACTGGCTCGATGCACAACTGACTTGGCACAGACTTTGTCCAGCTGAGGGTCATGAAGATGATCCAAGGGCTGGAGCCCCTCTACTAGGAGGACAGGCTGAGGGAGTTGGGTGAGTTCAGCCTGGAGAAGGCTCCAGGGAGACCTT